GAGGTGGTGGCGGGCGCCCTGCCCTGGACTTTCCTTCTCCCCCAGGAGAGGTAGAGGGACTGGGAGCAGGGAGGATCCCAGCCCCAGCCCCAGCCCCAGCCCTCGCCGCCCTGGTTTGCCTGGCACTGCCCCTGCCCTGGCGCTGGAAGCCCTGCATTCCTAGAAACCCCTTAGACCCACACACACCAGGAGGGTTGGTCGCTCTGCCACCCCAGGTGAGTGCCTTTGGACAGCCACGTCATGTCTCCAAACCTTGGTTTTCTACGCGGGAGAACTGGGCCCTCGGCACTCCCAAATTCTGTGATTTTGTTGGTGAAGGGGCCTCTGATGTAAATAGTGACATCTGAGGGAAACCGACCACTAGCAAGAAGTTGTGACTCTTGTCAGGCGCTCCCCTGAGATCTTCACGTGTTATTCTTCATTGGTGGGACAAACATTTAATTTACTGAGCACCTACCATGTACCAAATTCTTCCCCAAACTCGAGGGGGGTGAGGAACACTTCACACCAGCACTGTCTCCATGAGGGTGCCTCTGGTGAGGAAAGCCAGGAGTTAAACAAGCAATGGTGCTGGGGGGTGTGAACGATATGGCAGGACAGTGGGGTGAGAGAAGGGACCACAGAGTGGGGACAACCCTGCCTGGTATCTTCTGATTACTGCAGTCAGCCCTTTCCCACATGGCCACATCTCCAGGTCCACCACCCATTTCGCCCTTGGAGTAAAGTAGGTGAGACCAACCTAGCTGGTTTGGCTCGGTGATTAGAGCCTGGGCCGGAGGACTGAAGGGTCCTGGTTAGATTACACCAAGGGCAGGTACCTAAGTTGCAGGCTCCATCCCTGGCCCCTGGGGAGAGCAGGAGGCAACCAATGGATGTGTCTCTCTCACATCAATGTTCCTCTCACTCTCTCTTTCTCTCTCCTCCCTTCCACTCTCTCTGAAAAAGCAATGGAAAAAATATTCTCAGGTGAGGATTTAAAAAAAAGAAGAAGAAAAAGGTAAGTGAGGGCAAAGGGGCAGAGAAACTTTCTCCCACCCAATCAGAAAGGGCGATGATGTTCAGCTATTTCTAATCTCCTCCACTTCCCAGCAACAAGTTCAGTTTGCAAAGTGCATTCTCTCCAGTATCTCAGAACCTCAAGACACCCTTGAGAGAGGGAGCCAGGAACCATACTACCGTTTTGAGGAGACTGAGGCTCAGATATGTGGATGAAAAAGGAGCACTGTAATAAGTCTAACCAAAAGCAATCACACGTTGATCTGATCATAAATTCCTAACTGGGCCTGTCAGGGTGGGTAGTCCTGCCTCAGGCCTATAGCTTCCCTAGTAAAAGGTAAATCTTTGCCTTAAGCAAGCCCTATCCATTGCTTTTGTGCATCTAAGTTAACACACCTTTGAAATGCCTCTTTTTTCAGACCCCTCAGAAGCATAACCACCCTCAAGAGAGGACATACCTTTGTTAATTCTCTAATAATTCAAACCCTGCCTTGCTTTTCCCCACTTTCTTGTAATCTTACTTCCTTAATTCCAAACGTATAAGAGAAACTGCAGACTTACTTTCTCTGGAGCATTTGGGATCTTCCCAAGAATTATGGTCAGGTTAGCTAAGATAAACTCATAAAAATCCTCTACAGGTTTGATAATTTCTTATGTGGACAGAGAGGATGTTGCCTACCTGGTAGTCACAGTGTAGTCCTGGGGCCTTGAATCTGGATTCTGAGTCTGCCACGTGAGCCTCAGTCTCCCAGGATCTGAGGTGTTGCTATGATCATGCAGACGCATCAGCAAAGAAGTGAAAGATACCAGTGTCTGGTTGTAGGTGGGCCCTGAGTGAGCAGAGCTGGGCCCCAGCCCTGAAGAGGTTCAGAGGCTGAACTCCAGTTCCAAAAGGACTCTGGGGAGAGGGGACCCAGAACTGTGGATTGGCCGGAAAGAGCTGGAGACAAGTTGGCAGACATCAGGGACCAAAGCACCAGAATAGTCTAGAGAGGGAAGAAGGCAGAAGAGGAGCATAAAGGATGACCACAGATCAAGATCAGACCACAGATCAAGAAAGGAGGAGACGGGATTTCTTAGAGATTACAGCAGCCTTTGGATAAAAGCTTTCAGCTGCAGTTTTTACCAACAACCAGGCTGGACTCACTCTCCCTGAGAGACCAAATTATGGGGCTATTAAGACATGGCTCAGCTGGGCCTACTGTGCGGAGGCACAGCCGGCAGGGTGGGGCTGGGTGGCGTAGGGGGAACGGCTTAATACAGTTTTTAACTTGAGCTGACTTATGTTGAAAGTCAAAGGAAATAGCTGAAGAGCCGGGGTCATGTGGGGACAGGGGAAGGAATCACTAATGGGGGAACCTTCCATGGATTAATGAAGAGAGAAAGCCCCACCTCAGTTCTTGAGCCACTTCCCAGGGAGCATCATGGGTTTTCCTTTCTCTTTTCAAGTTCAGGCAAAAAACCCACCTCCCTTTCTCCTAGAGTTCAGTGCTCCCACCGATGCCTCTGATGCTTCCCTCCCCCACTCATGCTCCCCTCCAGCATCAGGACATTACGTCCACTCTCCACCTTAGAGGGCAGCCTCAGCCCTCAGCGCTCAGGGACACTGCTCCCTTCCTTCCAGTTGCCAAGTATGACAGCCTTTCAAAATCTGTATCTTCTTCAACCATTTTGTAGATTTAACACTGTATCAGTCAGGTTTCTCCAGAGAAACAGAAGCAATAACCAGCCATCTGGATATCCAGGGAAGAGTTGGTGTTGCAGCAAAAGTGCAAAGCCAGTCTACTGGCAGAATTTCCTCTTTTTCTGGGGAGGTCAGCCTTTTTTCTAGTTAGCTCTTCGACTGATCAGAAAAGGCCCATCACAGGATGGAAGGTAATCTGCTTGACTCAAAGTCTACTGATTTAAATGTTAATCTAATCTAAAAAATACCTTCACATCTAAAAGCATCTAGAATAATGTTCCACCAAATGCCTGGGTAACATGGCCTAGCCAAGCTGACATAAAATTCACCACCGCAGACACCATTGGCAGCTCTTTCTTGACTCTCTCTTCCCTGGTTTATGAGCTTCTATATACTTCTGTTTCTCCTAAACTTCTTTGACTTCTTCTCCTCAAATGGCTTCTCCTATTTGGTATATTTTGTAAATATAGGCATTTCCTACCCTTATATTAATTCGTGACAGTAACACTCGCTGCAGCGGCAGCAAGCTCCACATCCCACTATCTTAACACAACAAAAGTGTAGTTCTCATTCATAGGACAATCAAATGTGGGTTGGGCAGTTCTCTTCAAAATGATGACTTAGAGACCCAGGGACCTTTCATCTTCTATTACCACCATCTTCAACATGTGGCTTTAAAGTTGTTGCAGAATGGAAGAGAGAATGGGTCAAGCTCCAAGTCCAAGGCTCCAAGGTGCTCCTTATGACTGTCTCTTCCATCAGGTTCGGAAGCGATTCCAGTCTCAGGTGGAAGAGTGTGGATCAGACCATCACCATAAACACACCCATTCAGAAAAGGAAAGAATAAAAGATGAAGTAGCTATTGGCCTGTGGAAATTTTGAGATCCTTCAGACAACGGAAAGGCGCCTGAAGAAAAGGTTATTAAGATTCTCATATCCTGCTACCCAACTGCTAAGCTCATGTCACATATTTATGTTTTCGTTACAGCGGCATCCCATTTCAAGAGAACAATTTCTATAGTAGTTAGAGTAAGTAGCACTAGCTCTAATAAATAAGTGCAAGATTCTAAGGACAGTAAAATTATAGTTTATTTCTCATTCAAATCACAATCCATTGCAGGTTAGGTGTTTCTCTTACAAATGCTGACTCAGGGATCCAGGCTTCTTTCCCTCTGTGATGCCAACATCTTCAATAAGTAGCTTCCAAGTTTGTTGTAGAAAACAGAGAGAGAGTGGAAGGTTGCAGGTTAGAGATGGTCATGGGACAGGCCTACAAGAGGCTCATAATGACTGTCGGCCACATTCTATGGGGCAGAACTCAGTTACACGGCCCCAGCCAAAGGAAAGGAGGCCGGGAAATATCCCTTAGCTGCATTACCGTGAGGAAACGTGGAAACATGGGTGCTGATGAGATCTACCATTTATTAACCATCCCCTCTCCAACCCAGACATTTTCAAGGTCTTTGTCCCTTCCCCCTCCATAAGCTCTCTAATGCGGTGGAATCAAACTCCATGCAGTGTTACCGCCTTGTTAATGCCAGTGTTTCCCCCACATAATCAATCCTTTGGAAG